GTTTAATACAAGATGGTGGGTGAGTGCGTTTGATGGAGCAAGTGTGTGTGTGGATGGGTGGAATGAATTCACCATCTTTGACGAGCTCGTGTTGTCAATATATCATACGGGACGCTGATATGATCTGAACTGTTGAGTTTCGTGCTGTGTTCAAAATAAACCTTTTCTTTATTTTCTCCCTCTGTTAGGTCCTCTGAGGCCGATAGAGATTGGGCCAGTCGATGGATTATAGCCGATCAAGTGATGTCCTCTCCTAAGCTATTCAATTTGCCCGACCCCTCGCAAAGAGAGGCTCTCACCAAGTTCTTTAGAGACAGACAGGTGATTGCCCGCAAGTCTGTTGGCGGCTAAGAGCACCCGGATCGTTGTGCTCTGTCTAGGTTGGTAGACTGCGACTAGTCGGATGTGAAGATGACAAGCTGTGGCAGTATGTGATGCATCAAGTTGTTGGAGCCTTGGACGCACATCTGAGAGACGGTAAGTTAGACCGTATGGCTATTCATATGAGTAATGGATATGCCTGTAAGTGTCATCATTAAATGCACCTCGGGCGGGGCTCGAACCCGCGGCCACGGGCTTAAAAGGCACGCGCTCTGCCGACTGAGCTACCGAGGCTGATGATTGTTATTTCTGAAACACGACTCCCTCCTTAGATAACGCCTTCCGCTTCCTCCTCGGACCACGCCCAACTGCTGCTGACTTTGCGCTGTATGGCCTTCTCAAGCAACTTTCACTCGACCACACGACTGGATACATCATCCGAGATCGATTCACCGCTGGTAACCGCGCTCTCGGTGTACTTCCGAACTCCTTCAACAGTATACGGCTGGATTATGGCGATGGACGATTCAAGTGGTCTTGAAGTGGATGCCGAATGGGAGTTACTGCGCATGAACACCCCGGCAGTTAGAAAAGTGAGGAATCATGACGATTGGTCTCATCCATATTGAACGATGCTGCACGAGCAAAAGGAAAGATAGAATCTCGTCCACGTTAATCACGAAAGACCTCGTTTTGCTGCCTTGGATTGGCGTAGATGAATAACTATCTTCCGTACCGTGTTAAGCATGCGAAGTCTATTGAGGCATATGAACACATGTCAATCTCATACGCTCATCGCTGTTGTCAAGCCTCACTGAGCTCCTCCACTTTCGCCAATGCTCCCTCAGATACTCAAACTCGTCACTTCGATGTATCTCCCCTATCTCGTCGCGAATAGCCGTGCGAGCCGCGGTGACGAAGTCAGGGTTGAATTTCGCCTCGACGATGGTCAGACCTTCCTTCATAGAGAGAAGTTTGGTTCTTATCAAAAGAAGTGCTTTGAAGTGAGTTACTCGGGATTTCAGGAGGAAACACTACTTCCCTATGCAGAACTTGAGACGGCAATACGTCGAGTTGAACGCAGCACAGCGCCGTGAAATAAGCAAGCTAGCAGGCTGTCAACTTGACCAGTGGCTCGACGTAAACCAATCCAAACTTTAAATAGCACTTATCTATGTTTGATGACTTTTTCTAATCCGTTGCTTCGTGTTCATTCACAGTTATAGAGCAACTCATCATTCTGCATTTGTATACTTGCACTAATAACAAAATCGATGGAGAAAAATCCCGGTCCACCCAACAACAGCCGCAAAGATACGCGAGCACATGATTCGCCAGAAAGATGGAGCGCTGGCTTTGTGTTTTCGCTAGTGGATGTTCACGAGCTTACCACACTGAAGTGCATATTCTTACTCCAAGCCCAAGAATGCCGATTGACACTCATCCTACTGATTGCGAGTATTTTGGTGGTCATCACGCCTATGAGGGCGTTCACTACGACAAGATGGATCCTCCCAATACACAGGAAGTTGCCGAGTTCTCCAAGAAGCTACGTGATATAGCGGCTCAGAGTATTGGTGGTACTCACGCAGATCGCATAGTAGCTGCTGATTTGCTCAGATCAGCTCTGCTAGACTTGGCTGCTACCAAGAAGAATTCCGGTGTAGTGACCATTGACAATTTACTCGGTGAAGACACTTCCCGTACGATTATTATGATGAAGACGGTTAATGAGGACAGCGTT